GATTTCTCTCTTGTATTTTGCTGGAATTCTTAGTTACTTAACCCCTTTTGTATTTTGAAAAAATAAGTAGTAGTCTTATTGGCCATATATTGGACGAAGCCAGGATCACTTTTATAAGTAAACTAGACAACCTGTTGGGTCATTGTTTCAGAGGTATTTCCTTACCTAAACAGAGAAATAGAATGACCAAGGGCAAAAAAGCAGTGGGAGCGTGAGTGGCTTATGACTTGCTGCTGGTTTCCCCATTGACTTTGCTTGTGGAAAACTGGCAGGGAGCATCAGAAACCTCCCTCCCTCCTCCTCCCTTTCCACATACAATATAACCTTACACTGTTTGCCCTTCCCTCAGGAGAGCCCGGTGAAGCCGCCGCCGCAGCCGCCTCCTCCTCAACTGACCAGCGGAACTGCCTGCCACTTTGCTGGGGGGAGGTGGAACAAAGGGAGCTGTGGACTCTGAGGAAAATTGCACCCCATTCCAGCATGTCCCCAAGGGCCCCCTCCCTCGAGGGAGGAAGAGGGCTCACCCATCTACCACCAGTGCCCCCCAGCCAGCCCTACCTCGCCAGCAGGCACCCAAGTCACTCCCTCATCCTTCCCTCAATGCCCACTGCTGTTAAGAGATTTCAAATTTCTGCCTCATTTCCAAAGCAGCCAATCGCCACTTGCCCATCAGGCCTTGCCACCAGCTGATTGGGTGCCCAGGACAAAGGGAGGCAGGAAAGAGATCGGGGATACACCCATGATGATCACGTGACCTGGGCTGACCGCAATGGCATGGCAGCACAGCAGTGCTGAAGCAGCCACAAATTTCCCAAAGTTCAATCCCACAGGAGTCATGGATCCCGAATTTTGGATGCATTGTGTAAGTTAGCCCATCTGAGGGTTCAAAAATTGTTGCCCTATGACACACCATTTTGCCCAGCTGAAGGTTACACAAGAGTTTTAGTAGTATATAGATATGTTTGTACTATGGATGTATACATCATCAGAATATACACTTAGAATAATGTAAGTCTTTGGTTTTCTCAGTTTCTAAAAAATCAAATAATAGCAGTAGTAGTAGTTTATTTCCCTCTTTTATTTGCTTTGATACAGGGAGCCAGAGCCTCAGATTTTGGATTATCAAACTCAGCAGTACAAACTCTTTCCTCTCCTAGCAACAGCATATGCTTTCCACTTTGTGGGTGCCTATATGAAAGATACATATCGTCGCATCACTGGGAACATCAATGAGGGAGACCTGAGTGAGCTGCCAGAGGTAGGGCTCTTGTTCTTACTGAATACTGAATCTTACCATTGACTACTACAAAGTTTAGTTTGTTTTTCCAAGACAGTGGAATAAAGATAATTCCTGGGAAGGAAGAGTATCAGAAAAAAAGTTTGAGGGACAGTGCATGTCACAGACGGATTAGTAGAAATGATTGCTATTGCCTCAGTTTAAATCCCTTTTTCTTCCTCACCTATATGGAACATCTCTGTGGAATGCTCTCATAATGAGAATGGATGAGATGGATAAGCTGGGGATTAGGGCCACAAGGTGACTTTTGTAACCTCTCTGTTTAGACCAGCAAATCAAATAATTAAAAATGTGTGTTGAGTTTCACTTCTGTTATCTCAGTCATTTAAGTTTTATTTATTTATGAAACCTTGATATCTGAACCTAAATTCTGGTTTGGACTTGTTCCTGAAATTTGACCTGCAAACTTACATAAGCCTTAGTCCTGACTGTTACATACATACATACATACATACATACATACATACATACATACATATATATACACACATACATACATACATACATACATACATACATACATACATATATACAGTGCATTTGGAAAGTATTCAGACCCCCTTCACTTTTTTCAATTTTGTTATGTTGCAG